TATTATCTCCAAGCAAGCACAGCTGGCAAGAAATACCTGAAAAGGATCCTACTTACTACACAACCACCTGGCTCCTCTCATGAAGCAACCACTCGTGTTCGGGACACACCTGCATATTTGGAGAGCCATTGCCGGAAGGCAACCACAGGGAGGTCAGCGTTGGTGGGCATGTAAAACGCCCTCCACGCGCTCCCCCTCACAACCCCTGCGCCCCCCGCTTCACTTCGCCCACCCTCCGCCGCACCTCCCCCCTGCTGTGCCCCGCCCTTGCTCGCCCGCGCCTCCTCCATCTGCTGCTCCCTCTCCTGCAGCACTCGCTCCTGGCAGTGCAGGAAGTAGGAATCGCCTGATGGGCATGGCGCGGGACACACATGGCACCCCAGTGATGTGACAAGAACCGGAAAGAACACCACAATCATAAGGCTATCATCTGTGATCACTGATTCCGTCACCGCATCGTACACCTGGTGCAAGCGGAGGTGCCGCACTCACCATCGTATATCTGGTGCAGGCCGATGTGCCGCAGCCAGCGCGGCATGGAGGGCAGCTTCTTGCCGTCGCCGGGCCTGACCAGGTTCACCTGCACGACGATGCTGCTGCCCGGCGCGCTGGGCGTGATGTACAGCAGCAGCACCAAGCTCGTGTTCGCCGCGGCCTTCCTCTGCAGGAAGGGGAACTTGGGGGGCGGCGGGCTGGGGGGGAAGGGGAGAAGGGAGGGGGGAGATGGCTTTTGAGTGAGTCGACTAAAAAACACACCAGGTTCACATGCACGACGATGCTGCTGCCCGGTGCGCTGGGCGTGATGTACAGCAGCAGCACCAAGCTCGTGTTTGCCGCGGCCTTCCTCTGCAGGAAGGGGAACTTGGGGGGCGGCGGGCTGGGGGGGAAGGGGAGAAGGGAGGGGGGAGATGGCTTTTGAGTCGACTCAAAAACTGACCAGGTTCACCTGCACGAAGATGCTGCTGCCCGGTGCGCTAGGCGTGATGTACAGCAGCAGCACCAAGCTCGTGTTCGCCGCTGCTGCCCCGGCAGAACCCCACTTAGGAGGCATGACTTTGCGTGGCAGCAGCTTGTTTAGTAAAAATGTTTTTTGTGTTGGTAGGCTTGCTTAGGACCTTTGTAGAAAAAATATTGGTGGTAACTAGTTTCGGCTTTGAGCCTTCTTCAGACCACAAAGGAGAAAAAGAGAAAGCAAGCACCCTAAATACCAAAGCCCGAGGCTCCGACGCGAGGCATTCCTTCGCGGGGCTGGGATGGCAGGGAAAATCTAGATAGAAACAATAGAAATGAAATCTACAGTAAGCTAGCACTTATGAGCAGAAATTATATAATTGCCTACTCGTTTAGGTAACCTCCATGCGATGATGTTTCTTCTTGTAGAAAATACTCCGTGTGACATTGTAACGAGATGACTTTTGAGTCGACTCAAAATGTTCCCCAGGTGCGAACGGTCAACCAGCAGGTTGAGCAGAAGTTTCAGCACGAGGGGGCCACGGGTAGAAGAATTGCGCAAAGCGGAGGCACGTTGGAGTAATTCCCCACGGTTGGAGAAAAGCACTGTCTTGAAGATTGGAAGGAGAAACTTCTCAGGATGCCCACGTGCTCGTAAACGAGCAAAGAAAAGTGCGCGGGAGTGTAAGAAGTCAGTGCGTGAAGAGGAGCGTAGCAGGAAACGCTGTAGCTCACTCCGAATGAAACCCAGTTTGGTGGTGCGAGTATGGTAGGATTTAAACGGCAGGTATAAGTACCGGTTCATTGGCTTCTGGTACAGCTTCATGTCGAGTGTTCCAGTAGTAGAGAACCGTTCCCCCTTGAAAACCGTAAGATCCAGAAAGTCCATGGTAACGTCAGAAACCACCCAGGTTAGTCGAATTGAAGGATGTAAAGAATCGAACCGTTGACGAAAGCACGAAAAGTCTTCCTTTGTTCCCTCCCACAGAATGAGACCATTGTCAATAAAGCGAAAGTGGAGAGCGGGAGAAAAACGAAGCGAAGCGTGCAGTTGAATGTCAAGGTAGCTCAGGAAAAGCACCGCGAAGCAAACAGCCACTGAAGTGCCCATCGCAGTGCCTTGAATCTGGCGGAAAAACCGGCCGTTGTAAGAAACGTAGCTGTTGAACATCACCCATCTGAGCAAACGGACGATGACTGGGGCCAATGGATGTCTCTCCTTTTGAAGAAAAAAGGCGACAGCGTCTATCCCGTCCCACAAGGGAATTGACGGGTAGAGCGATTCCACGTCATAAGACGCCAGCAGCATGTTAGGTGAAAATGAAAATGAACATTGCTCGAGATGAAGAATCAGGCTCTGGGAGTCCTTAACATAGGTCGGCTGTTTGAGGACCAACGGGCGTAGGACTGAATCCAGCCAGCGAGAAACGTTAGTAATTATCCAAGAATGGCAAGCCGCGATAGGCCTCCCAACAGGAATTTTCTTATGGATTTTCAGCAGCACGTAGAAAGCTGGAACCTTCCAGCCATTCTTAGGTTGATGAAAGAAAGAATCCCAAATTCTGGATTTAATGACACAGCTCCACTCAGATCGAATAGAATGAAGCTCTTGGAGAATGTTAGTAATGGGAACCGTCGAGTATTCCTTGTAGACCGTGTTATTGAGCAGATGCTTCAGACATTGATCCTGATAGTATTCTCTGCTCATGACAGTTAGTCCAAGGTTTTTTTCCGCCGGCTTGAAAATGAGATTAGGATTGTTAGCAAGTCGTCGCAGCATCGGGAGCACGTTCTTAGACTTCCGTGTGAGTGAAGTGAAAGTTTGTCCAGCAATTTCTTTAACGGCTGCTTCTTTAAACACCTCCAGCGCGGCTTCAATTTCAGGTGAGGCTGGTGGAGGGTTCCAGTTAGTTCTCTTAGGTAGCTTGTACCCTGAGTAACCGAAAGAGTCAGATCCATTAAACAGGTACATGGTACAAACACTTCTAAAGAAATCAGAGATCTCTGCTTCGAAACTGGCGACAGTACAAATTACAGGTACGGGGATGAATTTCAGTCCAAGGCGCAGAAGATTAAGTTCCTGTCGTGTGAAAGAATGATCACTGTAGTTATGGATACCGCGGTTGGTGATCCGACATTGCAGTTGGTACTCGGTTTGTCTTCCGAAGAGCACCAAAGCAAATGAGTGCACATCACCCATTACTGTCGAGTCGTTTTTCTGCGGCCTCCGCCTCCCCCGTTTTTTGTCACAGGTTCCTTGCGGGATGAAAAGGAGGAGGAGCCGTTGCGTCCAGTCGACTTAGAGCCGTTGCGAGCAGCTGTCTTAGAGTAAGAGCGACCCACGGTTTTAACCGCTGATGCTTCTGCTTCGTCAACCTTCTGCTTCATCTTGAGTCTGCTTCCCAGTCTTTTTGCCATTAAGGCCCTTGTCATTGGATTTGCCGTTGGCTTTCGGAGTCGAACGAGACTTCTTGCCTGTGCAGGCGTTTTTCCTGACATGGATACCGGAAATGTTAGACTTAGATTTAGGATTTCCAGAAAAAGCAGCCTTATCCTTGTTGTTGTAGCCGGTCTTTCTCGCAGGTGTCTTAGTCGAAGGCTGCTTCATGAATTTCTGCACCTCTTGACGAGCGATCTCACGGACCGTAGGTTCAACCGGCAGGTTCTCAGCTTCCTCAACAGCAGCCGTTTTCTTAGCGTCAAGCTCCTCCTTCTTCTGTTTCAGGAGGACTTCCGCCATGTTGGTTTCCATGTAGACAATCGAAACGGAATCCTTAAACTCCGTCAGAACGCGTGCCTTGAAAACATCTAGGCTGTCAATGAGTTTTGGGTTCTTTATGCCGAGATCTGACTTCTTGTTCAGGTTGATGAAGTTATCGATGTGATGAATGAGTGACTGATAAACAGCACAGGCGTCGCTGAAGGCCTTATCAGCAGCTTTCTTCTTCATTGAAATGAGAATATTCTGCGTACTCTGGCAATATGCCAATTTAGCGGCTTCCAGGTCCTTATCTGCTTCTTGACGAATATCTTCAGCATGGCAGACGAAGTTGAAGGATTTAATCCGAATAGAATGCGGGATGATACCGCTCTTCTTCTGCTCCTCCATAAAATTGTATTGCTGCAGCAGCGTCCGATACTTCATAAAATGCCTTTTGAAGTCACTGACGGCTTGAGACTTAAGTGTCTTAAAAATGGCTGGTGTAGCCTGCTGATCCAGAAACGATGCGTTAATATCACCGAGAAAATCAAGTGAATCCAGCATGATAGTGTCACGAGTGACAGAGTCCTGGATTCCTTGGACTGCTTCCTGCTCCGGAACCGTCGTGGTAGCATTAGTAGCCATCGTAACGGGAGTAATTCCAGGAGCGTCAATGGACTTTGCGAGAGTAGCACCAGAAGTGTCAAGACCTCTCTTCTTGCAATGTCGAGAAGCAGAAGGAGACTGTGGAAAGTCCCCTTGGCTGACCGGCTTTTTATCCTGGCCGAGCTGCGAAATTCTTCGCGATGCTCTCAATGGCCTTGGGATAGTCGGGACGCGGTCAGCATTGTTCGTAGTAGTGTTTGTAGTAGTGTTTGATGCGTTAAACGTGTAGCCGGCCATCGCAGTAGTATCAACTGACAGTCCAATGGAACCCCACTTAGGAGGCATGACTTTGCGTGGCAGCAGCTTGTTTAGTAAAAATGTTTTTTGTGTTGGTAGGCTTGCTTAGGACCTTTGTAGAAAAAAATCTTGGTGGTAACTAGTTTCGGCTTTGAGCCTTCTTCAGACCACAAAGGAGAAAAAGAGAAAGCAAGCACCCTAAATACCAAAGCCCGAGGCTCCAACGCAAGGCATTCCTTCGCGGGGCTGGGATGGCAGGGAAAAGCTAGATAGAAACAGTAGAAATGGAATCTACAGTAAGCTAGCACTTATGAGCAGAAATTAGATAATTGCCTACTCGTTTAGGTAACCTCCATGCGATGATGTTTCTTCTTGTAGAAAATACTCCGTGTGACATTGTAACAAGATGACTTTTGAGTCGACTCAAAATGACTTTTGAGTCGACTCAAAAGTCACCAAGCTCGTGTTTGCTGCTGCTGCCCCAGCCTTCCTCTGCAGGAAGGAGAACTTGGGGGGCGGCGGGCTGGCAGGAGAGGGGGGGAAGGGAGCGGGAGGAGGGTGGAATGGGGAAAGCGAGGAGTAGAAGGGGAGGTGGAAAGTGAGGGTGGGATAAAAGCGGGGGTGGACGGGGAGGAGAGATGTGGGGATGGGGGGTAGGGTGAAAAGGGTGGATGTCATGGTGTTGTGGCGGGGGCGGCACGTCATGGTGTTGTGGTGTTGTGCGGTACCTTACGGTGCTGTGGTAGAAGACGAGTTGGGGCGCCTGGAAGCGGAGGTACGTGGGGAAGCCAAACACGTGGATGGGCCCCTCAAAGCCCTTCACGCCCTGCAGGCGGGCAGTGCAGAGGCAGTAGAGGGCAGGTGAGGGCAGTGCAGGCAGGGCGAGCGCAGTGCAGGCAGGGCGAGCACAAGCACAAACAGTGAAGTGCAAATCTTGTATACGGATGTCTATGTGTGTGCAGCGCAAGTGCATGTGAGTGTGTACGCATCACTGCATGTGCAAGCCTCTCTGCATGTGCAAGTCTCTCTGCATGTGCAAACCTCTCTGCATGTGCAAGTCTCTCTACATGTACAAGTCTCTCTGCATGTGCAAACCTCTCTGCATGTGCAAGTCTCTCTGCATGTGCATGCCTCTCTGCATGTGCAAGTCTCTCTGCATGTGCATGCCTCTCTGCATGTGCATGCCTCTCTGCATGTGCATGCCTCTCTGCATGTGCACGCCTCTCTGCATGTGCATGCCTCTCTGCAAGTGCAAGCCTCTCTGCATGTGCATGCCTCTCTGCATGTGCACGCCTCTCTGCATGTGCATGCCTCTCTGCATGTGCAAGTCTCTCTGCATGTGCATGCCTCTCTGCATGTGCAAGTCTCTCTGCATGTGCAAGCCTCTCTGCATGTGCAAGTCTCTCTGCATGTGCATGCCTCTCTGCATGTGCAAGTCTCTCTGCATGTGCATGCCTCTCTGCATGTGCACGCCTCTCTGCATGTGCACGCCTCTCTGCACGTGCATGCCTCTCTGCATGTGCAAGCCTCTCTGAGTGTGCAAACGGCATCCCCCCATCACACAGAAACCTCCCTGCCCACCGCCGCGCCGCACCGATTGTGTCATGCCGATGTTGTTGATAGGGCCGCCCTTGTCGCGGGTGGTCATGCCGACGCCGTGGTGGGCGAAGGGGAAGTGGGAGAGGTCCACCACATTCTCCACCAGAACCTCATACCCGTACGCCAGGCGCCGCGTGTAGTGCGGCAGCACCTCGTACTCGTCCCACTCCACCCCGTGCGGCAGCGGCAGTGGCGTCGCCTCCGCCTGCTCTGCCGAATGCTCATTTGGCCACACGAACAGCACCCCCTGGGGTGGGCGGGGGGAAGTGGGGGCAAGGGAGGGGGAGTAACGGGCGCGCAGCGGGGAGAGTGGGGGCGATTGGCTGGGTGGACTGTTGAGAAGCGACGGACAAGCCGATGCGCCCCTGTGGGCATTGGGAGGGGAGGGGAGGCACAGTTGTCTCTCACCACTGCCCCTCCTCCCCTCGCCCCTAACCCACTTGCTCTGCGGACACGCACAGGCAAGCCGAGCAGCCGAGCAGCCGCCCGCTTTGCCCTTCTCCTTGCCATCTCGCCACTCTCATGCCCTTCTCCTTGCTCGGACTACCCCAGCATGATGCCTTCAGGCTCCAGCTCTCGCTGTTAGCTAGGCACAGTGGGTTATTGCGACCTGCCTTTCATGACCTGCGACCCACGGATGATAAGCTTCCTATTGTGTATGTAGCCCGTGACACGTGCGGCACTCACGTGGAACTCCCTCACGGGGAAGGCAGTGGCGCATGCGCGCGGGGAGCACACGGCGCGGGGGGGCTGGCCGGGGTGCTCCGGGGCGGCCTGCGGGATGAGCTCGCACGCGCCGCTGCCTGCAAACGCCCACCCGTGGTACGAACACGCCAGCCGCCCCTCCGCGTCTATGCGGCCCTGTGGCCGTGCCGTTGGGAGGGGGCGGGGTGAGAGGAGGTGGGTGAGCCGGGAACAGGTGATGGGAATACATGTGGTGGGCATCCGCTGCGCCTATAACACCTCCATTCTGACCCAGCGGGTAGAGGGGTACGCCCACCCGTGGTACGAACACGCCAACCGCCCTGATGAGTCTATGCGCCCCTGTGGCCGTTGGGCAGGGGGGGAGGGGGGAGGGGGGGGGTTGGGAAAGTGATAAGATTGAGGTGGGTGCGATGGGAACAGGTGTGGTGGGAATAGGTGCGGTGGGAACAGGTGCGATGGGAATAGGTGCGATGGGAACAGGTGCGATGGGAACAGGTGCGATGCGAACAGGTGCGATGCGAACAGGTGCGATGGGAACAGGTGCGATGGGAACAGGTGCGATGGGAACAGGTGCGATGGGAACAGGTGCGATGGGAACAGGTGCGATGGGAACAGGTGCGATGGGAACAGGTGCGATGGGAACAGGTGCGATGGGAACAGGTGCGATGGGAACAGGTGCGATGGGAACAGGTGCGATGGGAACAGGTGCGATGGGAACAGGTGCGATGGGAACAGGTGCGATGGGAACAGGTGCGATGGGAACAGGTGCGATGGGAACAGGTGCGATGGGAACAGGTGCGATGGGAACAGGTGCGATGGGAACAGGTGCGATGGGAACAGGTGCGATGGGAACAGGTGCGATGGGAACAGGTGCGATGGGAACAGGTGCGATGGGAACAGGTGCGATGGGAACAGGTGCGATGGGAACAGGTGCGATGGGAACAGGTGCGATGGGAACAGGTGCGATGGGAACAGGTGCGATGGGAACAGGTGCGATGGGAACAGGTGCGATGGGAACAGGTGCGATGGGAACAGGTGTGATGGGAACAGGTGTGATGGGAACAGCTGTGATGGGAACAGGTGCGATGGGAACAGGTGTGATGGGAACAGGTGTGATGGGAACAGGTGTGATGGGAACAGGTGTGATGGGAACAGGTGTGATGGGAACAGGTGTGATGGGAACAGGTGTGATGGGAAAAGGTGTGATGGGAACAGGTGTGATGGGAGGCGCTTGCAGGGCGCACCTCGGAGAGCGGCACGAGGCGGTGGGGGCACTGGTCGAGGAAGCAGCGCCACGACCCCGCGGCGTCGCGCCAGAGCACGAGCGGGCGGCCCACAATGGTGATGGCGTGCGGGCGAGTCGCGTCCATGTCAGCCGTCACGCCCACGGCGTACCACGCGCGACTCCACTCCACCGTCCCGCCCTCCTCCGCCCTCCCCTCCGCCGCTGACGCCGCTCTCAGCTGCGCCTCTGCGTCGCCCGTTACAGTCACATCGTCCCTGCTTTCGCTGGACGCCGACTCCGCCGCGGGCGCCGCCCTGGCGACGCGGGACGGCGGGCGATGGGGGCGGCGGGCGGACACGGGCGGGCGCAAGCCCAGCTGTGGCAGGCGCAAGCTGCTCGTGCTGAGTTGGTGGCGACGCGGTTGCAGCGGATGCAGCGCCGCGCGGTGGAGGAGGGGGCGCGGCGCAAGGGAATCTGGGCTGGACGCGACGCGAGCAAACCGGCCCGAGGGACAACGACGCGCCGCCAGTGGCGCCGCAGAGCCGACTGCGGCGCGCGGACGGACGCGACAGCCCAGCGCTGCCTCCATGGCGGGCGGCGGGATCCTCTACTCGGGGGCTCGTCTCGGAAGGATGCGGATGCGCGCTGGACAGCCGGCTCCGAACGGCTGACTCCTCGCACGCACACTGCTCTCTCGGCCTACTGCAGCTCTTTTCTGCGCGTCCCTGCAGCAGCCAGTGCTCGAAGCAGCGAGCGAGCCTGGAGAAGCGCGGAAGTTTGTGAGTCGTGAGTCACGACTGACTAGCTACCAGTGCGCCAGGTTCCGCCTGTTGGAGCGTCAAGTTTTGGATGAGGGGAGTCCCGCTCCTACACTTCTTAAATCCCCAAAGTTACCACATTTAGCGTTGTAACACAGCATTTTACAAAAAGGGCGGACACGACCAGCTTTTGTTCACGAGACGGCACTCCAGCTGCACGTACCTCGAGTCGTGTGACTCACGTTACTACATGCAGCGTGCGCGCGAACTAGGGTCCAGCACTGCGTCCTGCCCACTACAGAGGTGGCCCCTCTAATGGCTCGCACACTTTCGCCAGTACAGCACGAGACTCGCCAAAACCACCTCCGCTTTGGCAAACCACATGGCCAGGCAACTCGCATGTGCAAAAATGCCAGACCTATTCTTCACGAGGGAACCGGTTACCTAGGTTTCCACGCGGACCTGGCACTGTTGAAGTTTGTGTGGGGATATGTGTCCACGCGCTAGTGGGGTGGACCCGGCTCACAGTGCGTTCGTTTCTAGGTACGGTGATCTGTTTTGAACCCCGGCACGTGTTTGGGCACTAAAATTCCCAAAATGTACGCGTTGGACACGCCCTGAGGGCTGGCTATCGCGTTATGTGGAAGGCAGATGCTGGGGTTAGAGCGTGGTACACCTGGCAATGTTTCACGCAGCTAGATCACCAACATCACAACCCTAGGATCATTAGCGGTTAAGGGCGCGGTACACAGTTGTTCAAGAGCTGTTCAAGATGGAAATGACGAACAATGCGTTCAAGCTAGCTTGAACGGGGTTCAAACGAGGTTGGTGAGAAAATTCTGGTCAAAATAAACATTTTGGAACATGTTACAAAAGCGGGTGGACAAGACTCGTCTAAGAACTAATTTCAGTCGAGATGACGAACCTGCCTACAACACTGGAAGTTGTGACTCCTGTAACCGTTTCGCTACCTTCTCACTCACGGGCGACTGCTACTTGGTGCGCGAAAATCCGTTTCGTCGATTATGTTGACCAACGATGCGGTACATAATATTTTTGCTGACGAACGAGTTGTTCAAACCAGCAGTCGTGTGTTCGTCAGCTGGCTGATCAAGACGCGCAACCTTCTTGACCAGCCTAGGTACAACTTACCGTAGTAAACAGGGTACCCAAAATTTGTGTTGTATGATCAAGTCTTGAACAGCTCTTGAATAACTGTGTACTGTGAACATTTTATGGGGACACATCGCATGTATTGGAAATTCGCATTGACCATGTTGACTGCGTTACTGACCGAAACGCAACAGCCTCTGTAGGTAAATTTTCCTTTTCCTTGGAAGGGGTTTACTGCTACGCGTACAACCCCAACATTTCGGACTTCGCACGTTCGGCTGACATCCACCATTCCGAGGCTGCCCCGCGTCGCCCCCGGTTGTCCGCTAGCCAAACCTGCACCCAACCTCGCATCTCCGAGGTTCCCTCCTAGCTACAATAGCTACTATATTATCACGTGCCTTCATTGTATTGTGAGTTCATTGAGTCACAGCCTCGTTATCCGTTTTCCGCGCAACTCTGTTTTACAACTCATACACCTGGTATCTGAGCTATCCTACCTAGTTCACCTCGCTTTTCGAGTTTAGTGGCACAGGTTGGCTAGTACAATGGACTGCACGACGTTGGCTGCAAGGCTTGTAATTCAAACCTGCCCGACTCCGATAGTTCTTACCACGGATATGGGCGCACTGACCCGCTACTGAAACAAGCCCTTTTATCCCAATGGTCTAGTGGTTGGGATTCTGACAGAAGCAGTTAACAAAATGATGGTGCAAATGGCAGAAATGCAGGAGAGCATTAAGTCATTGATGACAGAAGTGGAGCATCTACGTTGAGAAAACGTCGAGCTACGACAGACGCAAGGTGAAGCGTGTCAGGAGTCGCCCGTTGAAGAAGGCGATACCACCAGCCATGGCGTGAGTGGCGTCGTTACAAGTGGCAAACTCACACGCAGAAACGACGAGAGCGATAGGCGAGAAGCGCCGGCACCAACAACACTTGCAGTTATTACAATCAAGAAAAAACCCGCGAGCCCGCCCCCGTTCAACCCGACCGACAAGGCGACCACAGTTAAGGGGTGGCTATTTGGCGTAAAGGTTTTATTTACTGCAGCGCGAGTTGACGACGATGCCACTCGTATTAATTACTCGGTTTTGCTTCTCCAAGGACCCACTCTGGAGTGGTGTCGACGTACCTTGGACACGGGGACCCCGACAGGTGTGACACATGCGGCAGACGGGACCTCAACTTCGGCTAATCAAGTGGCAACATCAATATTCAGTGTGACTAGGATTCGCACGTGGAAGGAGTGGGGCGTAGCCTTGCAAGATCGTTTCGAGCACGTATCCGCCTCGGAGCAAGCCCGCATGAAGCTGCGTGCCTGGTCGCAGTTGGCTTCTGTTCAGGACTACCAAGTGGACGACATGGCGGAGCTGGAGCGGTTGGATAAGTATATCAGCGGACTTAATTACGAGATAGAGTATGAGGTTTGCCGATGCCGCCCGACTACGTTCCTGGAAGCCGTACGGCTGGCAGGATCTACAGATGCGCTGATGCAGTGGGCGAGGGGAGGTTCCCGGGAGGGAAACCGTTTCGCAAACAGACCCAACGGGCCACAATCAACGGAGTCCATGCACCCGACCGCCCCTTTCCGGGGCTGTGTTATAAGTATGGGAAATCGGGTCACATGTCTAGAGACTACCACGAGAAAACGTCGGCGAAAAGGAACGACGGGAAAGAGCCAGGAAATAGGAAGAGTCTGTGATATACGGGCCCCTTACCGACTGTGCTCTGTCGCCCAAACTTCACCATCCCCACCGAGTCGTGGTTCGATTCATGCAACGACGCCGGACGGCTGCGACGTGCTTCTGAGACATGATCGGCTGCGACTACACAACCCCATCATCGACTCGACGACGGAATCGTGCAGTATCAGCAAGCACGATGGGCTCATTACATTACCTGCATGGACCCCGGACTACATTCAGGCCCAGTGCGTCAAAGCCATCACTATTGCCCGCCATTTCAATCGAGGCGCGCAGCTGTTTGCTGTGTGTTTGCGCGAGTTGGCAACTGACACCGACGGAAAGGACATCGAGAAGCTGTGCACAGGACGCCCCGAGGACCACAAAATACACAGTAACCTGGCGCGCAACTGACTGTTCGTACACAGTGGCGACTGACTCAGCCGGAACTCGAGGAGCTACGAAGCCAAATTGACGGACTGTTGGAGAAGGGGTTTATATGACCCAGTACATCTCCCTTCGCAGCTCCGATCATGTTTACGCCGAAAAAGGACGGCGGCCTTCGCATGTGCATCGACTGTCGTGCGCTCAACAGGGCCACCATCAAGTCCCGCTATCCAATCCCACGTACCGACGACCTCCTCGATCAGCTTCGCGGTGCTCGCTCTTTCTCGAAAATCGACTTCGTGGCGGTTACCACCATATTTGGGTCTTCGCCGACGATTGCTACAAGACCGCGTTTCGAAACCGCTACGGAAGCTACTGTCAGAATAGTGAAGGAAGGAGTGACTGAACTAGCAAGCAGGTGGGTACAAGTAGGAAACCTAAAAGTGTTGTACCCTATATGAACTACCCCACTACAGCCTACACAGGCTATAGCATATAAGTTTGACACACCCCCATAGGCAAAGTGGGGGAGAACAAGAGGTCAGAAGACCGGTCAAGAAAGGCAAAGCAAGCTCAGGGTGGATCACGACGTCACCACGCATTCTGAGCACAAGAAAATGGCCACAAGGCCAGTTCACATGCAGAGTTATATAAAGGAGAACAAGCAATACAGTGATCACAACCTAGCAAGTGTAAGCATGCAGGTATATGTATAGAGATCACAGTACAAGCAGAGTCAAGAAGTAAGCAAGTGAGGCACAGTAGGCACAAGGCCTAGAACAGTACAGAAACGCTGATGATCACAAGGCTGAAGTGCCTTGGTGAAGACATCAGCAGTGTTGGCCCGAGTGGCCACGTAAGCAAGATGAAGCTGACCACGCTGCTGCAACTCTCGAGCAAGGAAGTAGCGCAGAGCGATGTGCTTCGTTTTGTGCTCCAGTCTGTGCTCCTGACACAAGGCAATCATGGCCTTGTTGTCGACGTACAGCACTGGAGGAGAACGAGGCGGCTCTCCCAGGTCGGTCAGCAGGTAGGTGAGCCAGCGTAACTCCTGTGCAGCCATGGCCCCTGCGTAGATCTCAGCCTCACAACTGGAGCTGAGAACAGAAGACGAGCGGGTAGACCGCCAAGAAACAGAGCCGGAGCCAAGGCTGAAGGTGTAACCCTGTGACGACCGCTGCGTAGCCAAGTCGTCAGCCCAGGAAGCGTCTGCGTGACCAGTGAGGACAACTCGAGCCCGTCCTCCAAGCACAAGCCCCATGCCCGACGTACTGCACAAGTAGCGCAACACCTTCTTAGCGGCATCCATGTGCTCCTTCCTGTGTCTGCCAGGAGCGACATAGCGTGCTAGAATGTTAAGAGGGTAGGCAAGGTCAGGTCGAGTGCAGGTCATCAGGTACATGAGGCAGCCCACAAGCTCTGGATACGGGCCACTCGGCTCTACGGACTCGTCCGAAGGTGGAGCTGAGAGCGAGTGACCGGTAGGCAGAGGAGTGGACTGTGGCGAGGAGTACGTGAAGCGGAAGCGCTGAAGGACCTGCTGCACCATGTGTGACCGAGTCAAGGTAATGATGCGCTGTGCTCTGTCCCGGGTGATCCGCAAGCCAAGATAGCTTGTCAGCTCACCCAGGTCTGTGCACGTGTGTCTCTTCTGCAGCTCCGACTTCACGTGGGCGAGTCCCTCAGTGTCAGCAGTAGCAAAGACCAGGTCGTCTACATACACGAGAACGTAGAACGGCGGCAGAGTGGTGTCGGTGCGTAGAAACAACGACGGGTCGGCAGTAGAAGGAGCAAACCCAAGAGCAGCAAGAGTCGTCCTCAGTGTGTCGTGCCACTCACGGGGTGCCTGGCGGAGACCGTAGACTGGCCGCCGGAGGCTCCACTGGGTACCAGCAGGAAACGACCCAGTGAAGCCAGGTGGGCGGCGCAGCCAGATCTCCTCGTGCAGGCTGCCCTATAGGAAAGCAGTGCTGAAGTCAAGAGAGTGAAGCTCGTAGTCACGCTGAGCGGCGACGTGCAGCAGAACCCGAAGAGTGGTCATCTTCGGGGTAGGGGAGAAGGTCTGGAAGAATTCAACTCCCTCTCGCTGTCTGAAGCCTCGTGCAACGTAACGCGCCTTGAAGACAGGCGGAGAACCCGGCGGCCGCTTCACCCTGAAAATCCACATGCCACTGACGATGTTCGCCCCAGGCGGGGGAACCTCGTCGACGTAGGTGCCTGTGGACTTCCAGGAAGCCATCTCTGTGTCCATGGCTGTCTGCCACTGAGAGGAGTAGGGACCCTCTATCGCCTCTGCGTAAGAGCGCGGGGTCGGGATGTCTGGTGCATCCGGGTCTCCCTCAGGGGCAAGCAGCATGGACACGAGATGAGGTAAAGCAGCGGCGAAGCACTCAAACTCCTCCTGTCTGTCCTCAAGGACGTCCGTGCCAAGAGCACACTCACCACCGACGGACGGAGGACAGAAAGACTCAGACTCAGACTCAGCAACAAGACTAGCGGCGTAGTCGAGACGACAGGCGGCAGCAAAGTCAACAAGCTCAGCAACTAGAGCAGACGCAACAGTGGACTCAAACGAAGGGTCAGTGACAACAGTGGCCAGGAAACGCGTGACAGTAGGACTAGCAGCACGAAGGGAGTCAGACTCCGGGTCCGGACCGTCAGGAAGAGAGGACACAGGAGGAGACGGCAGAGGGACACGCAGTGGAGCAGTGGAAGGAAGAGGACGCTCATGCGGAACACGACGACCAGTGCGAACAGCGCGAACAGGCGACTCAGGACGAGACTCAGGCGACGCAGGACGAGACTCAGGCTCACGACGCTCCGTAAGACCTCTAGTCGGTCCAGAGTAAGGAGAAGGACCAGGTAGTGTAGAGGCTGGCTGTAACTGCGACTGCGACTGGACAGGCGGCGGACTCAGTAGGGGAGGAGAAGGACCAGTAGAATGCGGGAGGCCAAGTACCTGCTGAAGGAGTGGAACGTAGTACGGCCGCGGCCGCGCAGCGCCTCCAGAAACAGCAGAGACAGCACCAGTACCCGCAGCTCCAGGGTCTCCAGCTACAACTCCCGCAGCACCACCAACTGCAGCACCTCCAGCAGCTCCAGCTCCAGCAGCACCTCCAGCAGCAACAGCTCCAGCACCTCCAGCTCCAACTCCTGCAGCACCACCAGCACCAGCAGCTCCAGTACCTCCAGTACGAGCACCTCCGGGACCAGCGGCTCCAGCACCTCCAGCAGCTCCAACACCAGCAGGACCTCCAGCAGCGCCAGTACCTCCAGTACGAGCACCTCCAGGACCAGCGGCTCCAGCAGCTCCAGCACCAGCAGCACCTCCAGCAGCTCCAGCTCCAGAAGCACCTCCAGCAGCAGGCCCCGTAGCTCCAGCAGCACGGCTACTAGCGCCGAGCGTACCACTCACGTAGCCGCTGTGGAGAGAGGGGCTCCCGCCGTGACGGGACACCCGGAGCACCTCCAGACTCAGCACACTCAGGCTCAGCACCCCCAGACTCAGCACCCCCAGGCTCAGCACCCCCAGGCTCCACACGCTCAGGCTCAGCACCCCCAGGCTCCGCACCCTCAGACTCAGCAACCCTAGGCTCAGCACCCCCAGGCCCCGCACCCGTAGGCTCAGCACCCCTAGCAGCACCAGAGTCGACAGCTACCTCGACAGGCTCGACAGGGTCTACCTGGGACACACCTGAGGGGGCAGGACCCTGAGGGGGGAGGGGGTCTACCGGAGGAGCACCTGGTGCGAGGAAGAGCGGCAGGGGGGGGAGAGGGGCAGTGCGGTAGGGAAAGAGACGGTTGTAAGATACCGACTCGTCAAACGTGACGTCCTGAGAGGACAGAACACGACGCGAGGTGGGGTGGTAAAACTGCCACCCAGGCGCGTCAGGGGGGAAGCCAAGGAAGACGCAGGGAACAGCACGGGAGGACAGCTTGTCCGCGGAAGAATCGCGGACAAAAGCTCGAGATCCCCAGACACGGAACACAGACGCATCGCCAACCTTCCCCGTCCACCGCAGAGTAGGTGTGGTCTCCGGCAAGGAGACACGAGGCTGAAGGTTGATCTGATGCGCAGCGTACTGAACCGCGAACGGCCACAGAAAATGGGGAGCAGCCGCATGGATCATGGACGTACGAGCGACGTCCATGACCATGCCAATGCGGAGCTCAGCAATCCCATTTTGCTGTGGGGAGGCCGGAAGCGTGAACGTCTGGCGGATGCCCTCCGCACGACAGAAAGCCCTTAGAAGGTCGGAGGAAAACTCACCACCCCTGTCTGAGTGCAGACGCAGAACAGGAAGGTCCGAGCCGAAACTCTCGCTGAGCTGGCGACGGGCACCGCGGATCTAGTCGATCAACACCTCAGTGACCTCACCCTTGCGGCGCAAGGGGAAGACTGTGGTGTAACGCGAGTAGTCGTCAACGACCAGCAGGAAGTAACGCTCGTGACCCTGTCCACGGACGCGGGCTGGGCCCCACACGTCCATGTGGAGAGTATGCAGGGGAGCCTCTGTCGGAGGGAACTCGGAAGAGTGAGGAGCGGCGCGTTGCCGGCCCTCAACACAAGGAACACAGGTAGGGGCCGGCCCCGGAGGAAGGGGAGGGAGGGACCGGGGGAGACCAGAGACAAGGGTACGGGAGGCCATACCTCGAAGACGAGGCAGGGAGGGGTGACCAAGGCGGTGGTGCCAAAGGAGAGTCTCGTGTGACAGAGGACGACACGAGCAGGGGGCAGACGCCGGACTAGACCTGGACGCGGCAGCAAACACCTGACCAGACGCGGCTACCTGACCAGACGCAGTGACCGGAGGAGACGCAGTAGTCAGTGTGTACAGACTCGACCCAGGCCGACGGGTGAACGTGGCCAGGTGGCGGCCCGTCCGAGAGCAAGTGCAGTGGGTCACCCGCTGACCTCCAGGGGTGAACTGGTCAACCCACACGTCCTGGAGGTCAGCTCCACTGACCAAGTTCGTAGACAACGAGGGGAGGTGGAGTCCCGACAGCAAGCCCGACGGGGCCGCAGGACACGGTAAAACCGTGGAGGAGTGCGCAAGGACCGGGCCCCCAGAGGGGTCAGCCAGGGAGACTGCGACTGGCCGACTGAGCGGTGTGAGTGTGGTGCTGTCGCGAAAGAAGGAGCGCGAAGCACCGGGGTCAAGTGTGAAAGTGTGGAAGGCCTTTGTAGGTGCAGTACCAAAGAGAGCAGACTCACCAGCACCTGGAGCAGCAGACTCACTCGTACCTGGAGCAGCGGACTCACTAGCACCTAGAGCAGCAGCCTCAATGCCCAGGTGGGGCGGAACACACAGGTAACAGTCACCCTCAGCACTATCAGTCACAGCATACATGGCAGCAAGGATAGCATCGAAATCAAGATCAAAGATAGCAACGTTCTGCGTATGCAGATCACCCCAGCGAGGGAGCTCAACAGCGTCAGGAAATTGGGCGCGCCTGGCGCCAGTCAGGCGACCGAAGCAGCGCTGCGTAGTGTGTGGCAGTCCGCACGTCTCCCCACGGCGCCCGCCGGTGCGAAGAGCGTAAGTGCAGGGACCAGCACCCCCAGACCTCCCACGCCCAGCGTACCACTCACGAAGCTGCTGGGCCGACGGGGTCTCACGGGAACGCGGCTGCTGCTGGAGCTGGCTACCACCAAAGCCTCCACGCTGCGCGGCTCCACCTCGACCAGCACCACCGCCGCCGCCACCTCCACCACCGCTGCCGCTGCCTCCACCGCCGCTGCCGCTGCCTCCACCACCCCCACCGCCGCCACCGACGCCCCTACTCCCGCCACCACCCCCACCTCCACCGCCACCCCCTCCGCCTCCTCCACCGCCTCCACCGCCGCCCCCACCGTCCCCTCCACCACCCTTGCCCCCCTTGCCCTTGCTGTTGCGGCGCCTCCCACTAGGAGCAGACGCAGCCCCGACCTCCTCAAAGCCAACGAGGTCGACAGCAGCAGCAGAAGCAACAGAGGGGAGAAGGGGGACAGGGGAACACCCCTCAAAGAAAGGGGCGCGAGGGTCGCCGCGAGAAGCACCTACAGCAACGATACTCTTCTCAGCTGCAGTGAGGCGCTCCTCTAGCAGGTCGACGGTGAGCTCGGTGGGGTAAAGGGAGAGAAAGTGGTCCCTGACTGAAGAAAGGGAGTCAGGGAGACGGGTGACTAGGTAGTAGAGGGTGATGTACATGGAGGGGGGGTTCTTGGCACAGAACTCAGTGGGAAGCGCAGCGCGGTAGCGGGCGTCACTAGTGCGGAGGTGAGTAATGAGGTCAGCGACTGTGGCAAAGGCGGCAAGGTCAGGGAACAGGTACGGCAGCATGAGGCGGCTGAGGGCAGCAGTGGCAGGGGAGGAGTAGCGCGCTACGACAGCGTCATACAAAGACTTAGCAGTCTTGTACTGGCCAAAGTGCGCGCGCTCAGCAGACGGCAGGTGACTATGAACAGCAAGGCGAGCAACAGCCTCACGAGTGGTCCACTGCGAGCGAACCGTACTGTCAGCAGTGGCAGCAGGTGCAGGAGAGACACCAGACGTGTGATCGAAAAGGGATACTCCGTCCTTGGAGTCACACTGAAGAAAGAGCTGTAGGTCGTCAACCCACACGTCAAAGTCAACCGCACGCCCCTCAGCATCAAAGGTAAGAACATTAGGGCTAGCCATAGCGGCAGTAGCAGCAGTAGCAGCAAGAGCAGCGCGGGCAGGTCAGTGCGGCTCAGTAGGGCGGCGCGGCTCGGCAGGGCGGCGCGGCTCGGTTGGGCGGCGCGGCTCGGCTGGGTGGCGCGGCTCGGCTGGGCGGCGCGGCTCGGCAGGAGCGGCGCGGCTCGGCTGGGCGGCGTGGGTGCTTACCAGGGGCGGGTGCAGGGCAGGACCGCAGCTGGCGGTTAGGTCTGGGCCGCGACTAGGGCGGCAGTAGGGCAGGGCCGCGACTTGGCGGCGGTAGAGCAGGGCCGCGACTGGGGCGGCTGAAGAGCAGGGCCGCGACGAGTCGGCGGCAGAGCAGGGCCGCGACAGGGCAGCAGCAGGGCAGGGCCGCGGCTGGACGGCGGTAGAGCAGGGCCGCGACGAGCAGCGGCAGGGCAGAGGCCGCGGTGGGCGGCAAGGTCGGGGCCGCGACGAGGGGCGGCAGGGTAGGGCCGCGACGGGCGGCTAGGGTAGGCCGCGACGGGCGGCAAGGCAGGGCCGCGGGTGGCGGCAGAGCAGGGCCGCGACTAGGCGGCGAGGTCCGGGCCGCGACGAGGCGGCGACCGGGCAAGGCCGCGACGGGCGGCTAGGTCGGGGCCGCGACGGGCGGCACTAGGGTGAGGCAGGCGCGAGGCGCGCTTCGGGCAGGGCAGGAAAAAAAAATATTATAATCGTGGTGGGCCCTAAAAAAAAAAAACGTTCCCACGAGGGAACCTGCTCAGAATACCATGTCAGAATAGTGAAGGAAGGAGTGACTGAACTAGCAAGCAGGTGGGTACAAGTAGGAAACCTAAAAGTGTTGTACCCTATATGAACTACCCCACTACAGCCTACACAGGCTATAGCATATAAGTTTGACAGCTACGAATGTATAGTGATGACGTTCGGCCTCACAAACGAACCTTCGAATTTTCAACTGACCAAGAACAGGGTGTTTCGCAATCTTCTCGACAAGTGTATAATTGTCTACTTGGACGATATTCTGATTTTTAGCAGAACACGCAACCAACACCTCCACGACCTCGTTGTGGTATTTAAGCGCCTTCACGACAACCACCTCATCACCAAGGGTTTTAAGTGCGAGATTTTTAAGCAAGAGTTGGGTTTTTGGGGGCACGTCATCTCCCGCGACGGCATTAAAATCGACATGACGAAGATTACGACCATCCAGGAGTTGAAGTCCCGACTAATGTCAGAGCTTTTTGGGTTCGTGAATTACGTCAGGCAGTTTATCCCGAATATAGCGGGGATAACCGGCCCGCTGACCGACCTACTGCACAAGGACGGAAATTTTGTGTGGGGGGAGGAGGTTGAGGCGGCTTTTCAGGAGTTGAAAAAAAAAATCACGTCCCCTCCAGTTATACGCATCACCGACTCATCCAAGCCATTCGAAGTCGTAACCGACGCCTCAGATTTTGCCATCCGCGCTGTTCTCCTCCAAGATTTCAGCAACAGTTTGCAACCGATCGCCTACGAGTCACGCAAGCTACAGGCAGCCGAGCGCAACAACCCGATATACGACAAGGAGATGCTCGCCTACATTCACGCGTTCAAGCTTTGGCGCTGCTACTTGACGGGCGCCGACGTCACTGTTCGCACAGACCACAAGTTACTACAGTGTCTCCGTGCGCGACCCAACCTCATCCCGCGAAAAATCAGGTGGCTCGACTACATAGATACCTATTTCACCTACTGTTCCGCCCGACTCCATGGTGTTCGAACGGCAAGACTTAGAACCACGGCTCTGATACCACTTGTTAACTACTATTGGGACTAGAAACCTCTAAGCACACCTTTAATTCACACTAGTTTGTCCCCACGGGGTCACCTCCAAGGGTCCTTGGGTGCCTGGCAAAGCCAGCCCCTAACCAAGGGTCCGTGTTTGTCGAGGGACGTACTAATTGTAAATACAGTCGTGTGTACTAGAACTTTCCCAAACACATTTGCGCAGCGTTAGTTGACGGATTGGCTCGTGTGCGGAATTTCTCCTCGTGTCAATACGTCGATAGAGAATATTTCATTCACAAAAAGGTTAATCACAAAAAAACGCAAGCACAAATTTATACTAGCCCACCAAAAACGAAAGCTAACAGCCCACCGAAATAACAACTAGAACCATACTCCGAATTGCCAACTTTCTCCATGCGAAACCACTGGCAACATACTCGCCCATGAACGTTTATGTGGGCCATACTTGTTCGCGAAGCCTCGTGGACGCTCGTGGTGTTTCGTGGTGACCACTCGTGACAGCTCACGGAATCTTCTGAAGAAATCGCGCAGTTACGCGACGAAATTACGAAGTCGCCGAAATCACTCGCGCACAATTCGCACCAGCATCGAATGTAAATCGCGCGCTTCACGAAACACCCCGTAGCGAAATTCCTCTCGGCTAATGAGGACAAACAGCTCGAGGGTCCCACAGTTCAATTGTGGACCCACGCGCGCTTGACTTTTCCTCACACAATCCATAGTACCACACTTGCGCGTGTGGCGAATCCACCTGCGGCCTCAGGCCGCGCGTGTGCACACGTTGGCACACTTCCATGATTGCGCCACAATCCCAACAGTGCTCGAGCTCATGGCTTCAAGCCTTGACCACCTCGATAAGGGCGAGTTCTCTTAAGCCTCATTAACAAACACGAAATTACTTACGAACTCATTAAAACAATCAAAACGCAACTCCCAAACTTTACCTGAAAACTCACGAACTTGCATGAAATCACACGAACGTTTCACGAACAGACTCACGAACATTCACGACACTTTCACGAACACTCATGACTCGCAGAACAAATGAAATAACAGGAACGCACACAAAATCTCGGAACTCACGAAACTGTCAGATTTATATGACATAGCTACTGTAGGCTATAGTGGGGTAGCACATATGGGGTACAGTTTTCTAGGGTTTGCTTTTGTACCCAACTTTCCCTTAGTCAATTCATTCCTCATTTCTTCACATGGTATAGAGCAGGTTCCCTAGTGGGAACGCTTCCTTGGGCCCACCACTGAAACCTTTTTTTTCTGACCGGAGCGACAGTCGCTCCTGCCCGAGGCGCGCCTTGTGGGCCGCCCTTCTGTCGAGCTCTCTTAGAGGCCCCTCTCACGGCCCCTCGCGCCACCCTTAGCGGCCCCGTCGCCGCCCCTAGCGGCCCCGTTGCCGCCCTTCTAGGCCCCTTGCGGCCCCTAGCGGCCCCATTGCCGCCCCTACGCAGCCCCGTAGCCGCCCCTAGCGGCCCTGTCGCCGCCCTTAGCGGCCCCGTTGCCGCCTCCCTCCCTACGCGGCCCCGTTGCCGCCCCTACGCGGCCCCGTCGCCGTCCCTAGCGGCCCCGTCGCCGCCCCTACGCGGCCCCGTCGCCGCCCCTAGCGGCCCCGTAGCCGCTCCCCTCCCTACGCGGCCCCGTCGCCGCCCCTACGCGGCCCCGTCGCCGCCCCTACGCGGCCCCGTTGCCGCCCCTAGCGGCTCCGTCGCCGCCCCTAGCGGCCCCGTCGCCGCTCCCCTCCCTACGCGGCCCCGTAGCCGCCCCTACGCGGCCCCGTCGCCGCCCTTACGCGGCCCCGTCGCCGCCCCTAGCGGCCCCGTCGCCGCTCCCCTCCCTACGCGGCCCCGTCGCCGCCCCTACGCGGCCCTGTCGCCGCCCCTACGCGGCCCCGTCGCCGCCCCTAGCGGCCCCGTCGCCGCCTCCCTCCCTACGCGACCCCGTCGCCGCCCCTACGCGGCCTCGTAGCCGCCCCTACGCGGCCCCGTCGCCGCCCCTAGCGGCCCCGTCGCCGCTTCCCTCCCTACGCGGCCCCGTCGCCGCCCCTACGTGGCCTCGTAGCCGCCCCTACGCGGCCCCGTCGCCGCCCCTAGCGGCCCCGTCGCCGCTCCCCGCCCCTAGCGGCCCCGTCGCTGCCCCTACCCGGCCCCGTCGCCGCCCCTAGCGAGCAGCCGAGCCGCCGAGCCGCCCAGCAGCTGAGCCGCCGAGTCGCCCAGCAGCCGAGCCGCCCCTGGAGCAGCCGCCACTGCAGCAGCCGCCCCTGGAGCAGCCGCCACTGCAGCAGCCGCCCCTGGAGCAGCCGCCACTGCAGCAGCCGCCCCCGGAGCAGCCGCCACTGCAGCAGCCGCCCCTGGAGCAGCCGCCTCTGGAGCAGTCGCCCCTACAACTGCCGCCCCTGGAGCAGCCACCCCTGCAGCTGCCGCGGAGCTCTCGCTCTACAGTGGTAGCGGCCTCACCGTTGCCGCCGTCGTACGCCTGCCCTTCTCGCCACTGGTGAGCACTGCCCTGCCCGTACTGCTGTTACTGCTGCTTTTACTGCTGCTGCTCTTTCTACTGCTACTGCTGCTCCTGGCGTGGCCAGATGCAGCTCCAGCGTCGCCCGCGTGAGTCCCTCACCCCCCAACAGCTTCGTGCGTGGTACGCTAGTTGGGGTTGTCGGGGTGGCCGTAGTGGGAGTCGTCCTGGAGTGAGTAGTTCCACAGCTGCTTGTAGTGGCCAGGTGCAGCTGCAGCGTCGCCCGCGTGAGTCCCTCACCCCCCAACAGCTTCGTGAGTGGTACGCTAGTTGGGGTTGTCGGGGTGGCCGTAGTGGGAGTCGTCCTGGAGTGAGTAGTTCGGCAGCTGCTTGTAGTGGCCAGGTGCAGCTTCAGCGTCGTCCGCGAGCAGTCCTTTCGCCCCAGCAGCTTCGTGAGTGGTACGCTCAGCGTGACGGGTCACGGGGTACTGCTCGCTGTCCGTACGTCATTCGCACTGGTGCTCGGACTGGTCAGCCTTGCGGGACGTTGGGTCACGCAGAGTCCCGCTGCTTCGCCCGTCTGAGCGACGCCTGGCGTACGGAGTTTGGCGACGCGGCTGAGCTCCCCGACTGGGTGGAGCTGCTTCGGCTGCGGGTAGATATCTATACTCTTGACTATGATGCTATCCTCACTGCCATGTATGCATTGCCTACTAGTGATGAGGGTGACTGTTACCTGTGTGTTCCGCCTGACCCGGGCATTG